TATCATCCTGATAACCAGCGTTCCGCTACATACGGGAGCTGTCACCGTGTACTATACAAAAGATCAGATCCAAGTTTTCTTCTATATCCAGCAAGTACTCTGACATTCCAAAAATATTGACAAGCAGTAACAAAAACAACCAAGCGAACAAATGACAATCAACAATGTAAATAACAATATCTCTTCAAAATTCGACATAAACAAACATATGAAACTTACTACTTATCTGTTAATTCTTTTGCCATAAAACTATACAATTCGGCATTGATTCTTTTCAGTTTTTGTATTTCTTCCTGTTGTTTCTGTATCAATTCTTTATCTTCTTTTGATGTAGCACCTGTAACACAATATATAGGAATACCATTCTCACTCGGTGCTTATGAACAAAAAAGACACTCACCGTTAGGAACAGAGTGTGAGGACCCGTCCGTAACTTCTATGATATCGTCGTCTAATTCAACAACCTCAGATTTATCGTTTCCATTTGTCTTCATCAATTTCTTTTTCTTTTTCTTCGTCTTTGCTTTGGGTTCGTTTTGGCTAGTCTGAATGAAAGGTAATTATTGGAATGCAGCTAAATGTATTACTAAGGTGATCATAAAACAGGGTCTTACAGTACATTCATGTCCGCGCGTTTTGGAATTTTGCAAAACAAATTTGTAATGCTGATATATTCTCGCTAGTAGCGGGCGTTCCCCATACAAAAAGCGATGCATCGCTTCAAGCGCCAAAAAAGTGAAAGAAAGATGCAGAGGTGACACAGTACTAGCTCTTATAATCGCTTCAAACAGAGCAAGTAATAGAAAACAAAAAAGTATTAATTACCTCCTGCAAAGCGTTTGCTAACAGTCGGTCTACTTCTCCATGCCAGAAATTCTGAAAGTTCCGAACTTTAAAAGCTTGCAAAAAGGATACTTAGAGAAACAAGATATGCATTACAACTCGTAACTGTCAAACGTACGTCATTGCGATTCTTCCCATCACTCGGCTTCACCATAATTTTTTCACCTCTTGATGTATTTCGTTGCAAATCAAACACTGGATGCGTAGATATGTGTTCGGATGCCGATATGCTGGACCAGTCAGCCACAAACCGTAATGAAGAGATCGGTCCGCGCATTGTGGACACCTAGGACATGCGCTGGATTTTCATGAAAAATAAAAATGTAAGCGTACCTTCAGGCACTGCCGACTAGAGATCTCCCATATGCAGTATTTCCCCGCGCTATCGCCAGAAGCTAATAGCGAACCATCAGCGTTGACACATAAGGTTGTGATTTCATCGCAATGGCCATTGAAAACCGGCACTCTTTCATTTTTCTCGTCTGCTACTTGTATCAAAATTTCACGCCGGTCGTCCTAAA